ACCCCCACCCCCTCCCCCAGCCTCGCGCGTGGCCGCGCCTCAAAATTGTTTTCCCTTCGGAATGTCTTTCAATAAATTAGGATTCAGATAGGAATTTAGGAACCTTAGAAATTTATGCTTCACCGCACTTCTTGGTTATGCACATCTCGCCGCGGTGGGGACTGGGCTCTGACTGTATCGCGCCCTTAATCTTGTGTGTAACTGTAATTTTTGGCGGGCGCGATTGTAACCGTACTTCTTCTTCTTGATTCTCTCGTGTTTCCCCGCCTTCTCCTTCTCTGTCGCGCATACCTCGTCCTCCATTCTAATTGGTCTAAGCGACTGCATGACTGGATCGATGCGTGGAGTGTGGCTACGTCCCCCACGTCGCGGCCTGGTCATGCAGATGTAGGCACTTCCTTCTCTTCCCCTTCCTTTCATTTAGGCATAATCCTGGGTTTTTGGCACAAGCATGCATGTTATAAATTTCGCAAGCACGATTAGTTTGCTCTCTATGAATTTGGAAGTTAGCTCGGTCAGTGACGATCGGCTAAACAAGGAAGCTTGGAAGGCGAGTAGACGAGAGTTGGGCGATCCGATGAGCCGGTGCCGTGTATACGGGGTTGACGTGGGGCCACGACAGACTTTGGCGCACTGGCGAACCTGACTTGCATACCCGCTATTACCCGGACTAAGCGGGGTGACAACTCTGTATGGGTGCGAGGCGACGGACTGCCTGCATCGGAAAAGGCGTAGGTAGAGAAAGAGCACGGACGCGTTGGGATGGTGTCTTTCTTTCCCCTCCTCTGTGTAATTTTGACAATTGGCGCCAACCATCTTCTGCTCGCGACTATCTCGGATTTTCTTTCTTTTGATGATTTGTTTCTTTATCTTTGCCTCTCTGCAAGCTTGTCAAATTGGGTACGTTAATCGCCTGCATCCGATTTTTGTATGTCGTGGGCCAAAATGATGTGAATGAAGGATTAGATTGACTGAAGTGTCGTGATGCATGCGTACCTGTTGATTTCTCACCTTTTCGCATTATAGACTAGGAAGTCATGTGAAAAATCATGTGTCTGTCCGTGACCTTTGAATTTCGATCAATGGAGGAACGCGTCTCTTGATGGATCTCGAGTTAGCAATAGGGATGATCGACTGTCCATTGTTTGTGTAATCTCTGTTAGGTGTGTACATAGGTAACGACGGATGCGTGGGTCTGTTGAATGGGGATAAGGTAGATGTGAATGTTAGATGATTGGACGTGATAAATATGCGGATGCACTCTCCTGAGCGCACCTGACAGACCTCACTCCCCGGGAACAGCCAAAGGTCTTGTGCACGCACGTGTAAGCCCGACCCCGACGCCCGCCGCTAACACGCGTGTCTGCAAAACCTGCCTGCAACCCGCTTCCCGAATGACTGAGGTTTTGATAGTCCCGTGGCATGCATATTGAGACTCTATTCCATGTTACCGATCGTGAGTGTTTGAGAGATCGAGAATTTCGAGAATACTGGGAGCGCGCACACTTTTCCGCACGCCCCAATGCTAAACTCTCGAAATTCCCCTATCGAACGGGGCGCGAGCGCGTTTGTCAGTGGGACATCGGGCGGGCCTTAGACAACATTCCCTATCCTTTTTTCCGTTCCGGTCCGTCCACGTGTCAGATTATCACGGAACTCGACATCGTCATCATCGAAACGGAATACCCTCCCTATTACCTCACTTTGCCCTTCCACAGCCTAACGACCCTATAGTAACTAGGAGCAGATCGGCCGGTCAGCAGGCCGCCAACATAAACGCCAATCAAGCGCAAAATGTTAATGCACAGCTAGGCGGGGCACCTATTCCGCATCACCAATCCGAGTTCGCGCACCTGCGGCTCCACCCGATTTGTATCTCTTTGACCCTGCGCATCACCTGGTCAGGGCATGACTGGCCACACTGCGTGCACAATAGTACAACAACGATGAAACCAGGATCAATATCCCCGCAAGACTGGGAGGGGATGCACACCACTGGTTCAATACTTACGCCTGGATAAATCTCTCGACCTTTGAGAGAAACTTCTTGAACAAATTCAACTACATGATCTTTGAACAGACCTTCTTTATGATCAAAGATCGGGTTCAGAAGCCCCTCGAGTCTGTCACTGAATATCGTAATAGGTTTTACAGACTGTTTGTCAAATCAGAGAGGGACGAGAAGGTCAGAAGGGATTTGTTTATTGATGGGCTTCACAGCCGGACAATGAGGGCTAAACTACGAAAGCAATTTTCCCCCATCAATCACACTATGCAACAAATCATGGACGGGGCGGAAGAGATAGAGAGGATGTTTTTTGCTAGCTTCCTAGAAGGGGAGGACCAAGCTAAGGATGGGGATTCCTCGGAATTGGGCAGGGCGAAAGCCAAGCTGGCCGCGCTTCAAAGCAAATTTGAGAATATGGGTTTCGTCTCCGGCCCTGTCACTTACTTAGAACAGGTTGTAGCTAAGAGACCGATACCTGACACAACCACATGACTGCCCATAATGGTCGCACCTTCGCCTCCTCCAGATCCCTCTATAAAGCCAAGCGAACCAAATGCGATACTGGAACTAACTCGAATGCTGGTTAACTTAATGCAGGAAAGTAAGAAGGAACAACGCGAGCACAATGATCGGATCGAATCATTGATGAGATCGATGTGCCCCATTGCTGTCAGAGCAGCACCAATGGCACAAGGAGTTGCCCCCACTCAGGCCGTGAGTGGAGCAACGACTAACTTGAGTGTTTGCTACCCGTGTTACCAGCGAGGCCATATAGCCCGGGACTGTCCCCACCGACCCACGCAAGTCTAAGTAGGAGCCACCCCGGTGGTGGCAGCGGCGATAACCAATGGACCAGGGTGGGCACGATGATTGACGAGATGGAAGGAGGAGGAAGTAAGGTAGCCACTAGTGAGGAAGCTGCAGAACTTATCTTGCTTGACCAATACATCGCACTGGGTTATTTGGGGTTGGAATGATCTGAACCATCCGGCCCTCAAACAAACAATGAGAGGTAGCCGAATGGAGACCTTCTCCAGGGGAAATGGAGTGAGGAGGTTCCACCTTCATTACTAGGGAGATAGATGTTCTAAACATCGTTCGAGCGTTGGATCACCGAATTCCTCTACCAATTGGACACTTGTTGTCTATATCGGAACAAGCTAACGAACGCTTGTTGCAGCATCGCAAAGCAAACTGAAAATGATTTGCTCTCACTAAATCAACGGCCACAAAAGGAAAAGCCCCAGTCCCTGAAGGAAGGCGGGATGTCCCTAATTTGTCAGATCCGATACGGTTAAGACTAATCCAGAAGGATGACCATTTTCTGCGCATTAAGGCAATTCCATGGAAATCCGCGGAAAGTGATATCGAAGTTTGGGGAATTCCGTACAATGTCGCTATTGACTCACGAGCAGCCATCCTAGCCATCTCTCTGAGGGTTGTGGAAAGAGCGGGAAAAAGAAAAGGTCTGATCGCGTTGACAGAAGGGGATCATCTCGTCTCCGCGGACGAAGAAAATATCAAGGCAGTCGGGAGAATGGCAAACGTTGCATTTTGATTAGGAAAGGTTCATGCACTGGGCGACGTCATAGTATTGGACGTAACCATGTATGACATCCTCCCGAGACTACCAACTCTCACCGCCCTACGGGCTAACTTGGATTTCGAAAGATGGTCGATCATCCTTCAAAATACAGGTGGAAAACCGTACGTCATCCCTATGCGCTTAACTCTCCGAACCATGTTGCCCACGACCCGAAAACCCTCCCTGGCATTCGGAGAAGCTCTCCGAGTGATCACCGAGAGGGAACCAGAAGAAACAGACCACCCGGAGAAGAAATTGGAACTATCGAGTGACTCTGACAGCGAAGATGAAACCGATCCTGTGATTCAGGATATGGCTCAGCAATTGGTTCGTTGCCCGATCCGACAGAGGACCACGAAAACGTTCATCCTTATGGAAGGAAAGCTGCAGCGAATGCGCTCGTTAATTCTAGTGGAACCACTCGTACAAGTATCATGGATGGACGATTCTTCGGAACCCCCTCGGACCTTGTATGAGGCCACGTCTCCGCTTCTCTTAAGATATAGGGAAAAAAAGGTATTTTGTGGCATTACAGGGCTACCTCTTTACCTACTATCTTCGGGGAAGGAGGTCTGATTTCTGCGGCAGGGGGCCGAAAGGGAGGCTTTGGAACCCCTTACGCGCGGTGGTTCCACGCCCTACGAGCTCGGGATGAGAATCACAGAGAAACCACTATGCTGGCGGGACATCAACGATGGCGTGCCATCCCAGAGGAAGACGCTCAGCTGGTGGCCACAGCGTTCTTTTGGTTTTGGCGATCGAACAACTCCTTTATCTCCACTCCTCCTGCGGGAAGCGGCAGTAGAATGCGCACAAAACAGGTGACGGTCGCCATAAACGTACAGCCGTACGAGCTGCATGTGCCTCAGTACGTGCCCAATGAAATCCATCAACTAATCACCGAAATCCTCACCGAATATCAGGGGGCGATTAGCATAAAAGATACGGATATCGAGCTATCGTTAGTCATCCAACACAAAATTTAGACTGGGACGCACCCGCCGATTCATTGCAAAGCGTACCGATACTCTCTCATGGAACGAAAAGTAGCTTTGCAAAGAATCAAAAAATTCGAAGTGAACGAGTGGATTGAGTCGGCTACTAGGCCATGGTTATTCCCCGTAGTCTTAGTTCCTAAGAAAAATGGGCCGATTCGCATTTGCATTGATTACAGGAAGTTGAACGACATCACGATTAAAGATGTGTACCCCCTTCCCCGAATTGATGATCTATTGGATGCGATTGGGTGTGCTAATTATTTTAGTAAATTTGATATTCGTCACGGATTCCATCACCAAACAGTGGATTCATTGCCCGATGGGTATTTGCAATGCACTGGCTACTTTCTAGAGAGGTATGAACGTCACGTTTCAGAACTTTATCAACAAAACCAGGCCGACTCAAGGGATGATCAATTTCTGCATCATTGTGTACATGAACGATATTCTAGTGTACTCAATCGTTTCACGGTCATGTGCAATATATCGAGGGGATACTTGGGGCACTTCGAGATGCCGGATTCAAGATCGCACTGGAGAAAAGTGAGTTCTTCCTCTCAGAGATTTCGTTCCTAGGGTATGTGGTGACTCGAGGAGGGCTGATACCAGATTCGAGAAAGGTCGCGGCTGTTCGAGACACCCGCACGCCCACATCGTTGACGCAAGTCTGGGCCTTTTTGGGACTAGCCTCGTACTACTGTCGATTTATCAAGGGCTTCACGACAATCTCACGACCTCTAACGAATCTCCTGCGGAAGGACTAACCACTAAGTTGGAACGCAGAATATGAACGGGCCTTTGTCGCCTTGAAGGAGGCTTTGGCCACGACGCCTATTTTGATCCGGCCCGACCCGGAGAAGCAATTCATACTCATTACGGACAAGCAGCCTGAGGCGATCTCCGCTATTTTGGTTCAGAACGGAAAAGGCGGTTGCGAACACGTCATAGAGTACACTTCGCGAATGGTACCCGACGAGAGAAGAAACAATTCAGCCCCTAAGGGGAGTGCTACGCAGTTGTTTGGGGGATTCAGCACTTCCATCCGTATTTGTACGGACAAAAGTTTCTCCTCGTCACGGACCATGAGCCCTTACTGGCTCTCAAGAAGCTTACCAATTACACGGGTATGATTGGATGGTGGGCTGCACGATTGCAAAAGTACGATTTCGATATCGTCCACTAAAAGATGGAGAAGCACGGGAACGCTGACGGGTTGACACGACTGCACCGACCCAACAAGGTGGCCAAGGGCGAAGAGATTACTCAGTCGAAAGAACCGGGACCAGCCAGTGGACAATGGTACTGACAAGTGACAGTCCTCCCGCGCACCAAAAAGTGACACGAAAACACTGTGACGATGGGTGACGGAGGTAATTTTGTAAGGTCCCTTTCCCCCCTCTCATCTTCGTTTTTCCTTTCCCTGCCCGACAAGTTTTGCTATTTCTACGAGTCAATCTCGCGTGTCTACTCGGTTCCTATGCGTCCTAGTGGGGAAGGGTATGTCGAATGGATGAATTGTCAACGATGTGTCTCCAAGGCCCATGACTTCTGTATTCAGTACAAAAACGCTGACAAAGCTGTATATGTCCCCTATGTCGGACCGATAAGATCCTGATCGAAGCTCGATTTCTTGAAGCCACATCCGAGGGATTGGAAAAGACTCGTAGGTTTAGGAGGGCTGAAGTATGGACAAATGTCGTTTCGATAGCCGCAGTAGTTGGGAACCCCCTCCGGGAATTCACTAAGGAGGATCGGAGGCGGGTCAAGGCACAGGACTATCGATGGAACGAGGGACGGCTAGAAAAGCGAAAAACAGATGGTACTGGGATTTGGATGTTCGTGCCTCATCCGTTCATGAGGTATGACTGGGTCAAGTCAACACACGAAGAGATTGTAGCCCACTTCGTTGTCCGGATTACGGAGGCGGCGATCAACAAAAATGAATGGTATTGGTCTAATATTCGGGACAATGACTAAATTCATCGTCCGGAATTATCTGGTCTGTGCCATCGACAAGGCGTCGATTCATCCGCCTAGATCGATAGTGCCCACCATAGTTGAACGACCATTCCAAAGAGTCAGCATGGATACCACAGATATTGTCGTGCCCCCTGGGCCCCTGGACCGAATAGCTGTGAATATTCAATTCTCTTGGTATGTGTAGATCCTTTCTCGAAATGGATCGAGGCACATCCTTGTAAGACGCGATAGGTGGCGGAGATCGCGCGTATGTCAAACATTTTCTCGGAATGCATCAGGACATATGGGAGATCTTAACAGACACCGGGGCAGAATTCTGAGGGGAAGTCTTGAGGAATCTGGTCCTACACGGTGTCTCAGTCCACAATACTGCTCCCCATATGTCGCAATCGAACGGACTGGTAAAAAACGCGAACCGAGTAATTAAGACGGTGCTGCGACGTAATATCGTGGCGAGAGATACGAGGCCTTGGCCCGATATCATGGACCACATACCGGCTATTCACCAGGGGACACCCCATGAGTCTACCCGCCTGACCCCCTTCCAATTACGGACCAATAGTTTGCTTTGTGTGGCCCTACCGAGCCTAAATGATGAAGCGCCCCTTCGACGACGGGCCACCAGAACAACGATTAAGGATAAGGCTCAACACCACCTGGAATTGATGGGAAATGCCCTCCCCCGGTTACCCCGAAAGAGACAGCGAATGACCGAAATGGCCCACGGACAGCAGGTCCGAAGCTATGAGGCCCGAAATGGGAACGTTGGGCCTCGACCCTAATATAAATTAGGGGATATGGTGCAGGTGAGGAAATGTGCTTATCAAGGTAAACTAGCGCCACAATTCTTCAGGCGATTTCGCGTAGTCGAGCTTGGTCCGAGCGGAGGGAGCACGGTGCGACTCGCGCCGGAGGTGTCGGAAAGTCGATCGGCTCGCTCGATTATTCAATACGTGTTCTACCTTCGTCCTCTCCCCTCTTCCTCTCCGCTCTCATCATCTGCATCGTCCCTTGTTCGTGAAAAGGACGACGACGATCTTGAATCCTCCTTCTCCTCTCAACCTTCATCTCTGCCTTCGCCTCCCTCGCCATGAGCTTTTCAACCAAGCAAGTTATCAACGAGCATCCGATGAGACCCAGGGGCCGCATATCGGCAATCCGGCAAGTACAATAACCACAATGAAGTCCTGATCTACTCCGATTTACAACTTTCTTCACCACGACAGCCATCCACGTGGCGACAGAGTTCCGGTTTGTGCAGGCCAGAGAGAGCGACACATGTATTGGCTGAGGTATTAGCCTTCCAACGCCTGTCTCCACTCGGCGTTAGCCACGTCTCCGTAATCGTCACCTTCACCGATGACATTACAACGCTGCATCCGGCGGTGCACGCAGACGTCTTCTGACAACTACGAAGTTGGGTGGCGGACATCACGGTCGCGTGGGTAGAGTGACTAGCTCGACCGGCGGAGCAGATTGTCACTGCCAACGACGTCGATTTCCAGCTTCGAACCTCGCCTACCGCGCCAGAGGTCCTTCTCCTGGAGCTTCTTCCCTTCGCTCCGCCTCAATGAACCGTCATCGCCTCTCCCTCTTCAATCTTTCGTTTGATCTTCCCACCTTCTAGCAATCTGTCATCGGCGTCCCTCTATCTTTTCGAATCAGGGAGTTGAGCGTGTCGATCTTGGACGACGCCAAGTGGACAGTGGTGGCACGCCTACGCCGCACTCAGCTTTTGCCTCCTCGAAGTGGTGTTTCACTGGGCAGAGCCAACTAACAAGCACGAGGAAGACGAGATCCCGGACGACGAGGTGGAATTGTAGATCGCACAGGCATGGTGGACGGATATGGAAGGGGAGCTGCAGGGGATACTGTTTCCAAAGGTGAGGGAGGGTCATCTGGGCGCAATCACAGGTGAGCTGCTTGTATTCCTAACACAACCGGTGGACGATCTGCCTCTTGATATCCTGTCACGATGCAACGAGAAGCCGGGGATGAACACACTCAACCAGACGTTGGCGCCGCACCTATTGTGGTCCACGTGTATGGAGCTGGATGAGGATAGCTGTGTCTATCCTTCCACGGGTCTCTTTCTCGTGATCTACGTTACCGATCTCACCCTGTAGGATCCGATCGTCCAGAGGGTGGACTTAGGCGGGCCGACAGACGAGGAAGAAGAAGAGGAGGAGAGAGAGGAATCGGGAGAGGAAGAACGCGACATCATGGAGGAAGAAAGATCTGATGACCCCGATTACCGCGAGTCGGAGGAGGAAGAATCTAAGGAAGCGGAGCCAAGGGAAGGCGGATCGGACGAATCAGCTGACCCCCCCAAGTTAAGCAAGGAGGAGGACAAGATCGCAGAGCAGAATAGAAGCGAAAGGGCGGAGGGGAAGCGGCCATCGAGGAATCGGGAGGGTCGGCGATACAAGATGATCCGGCGTGCAATCCGAAGCCGCCATAGGAGGAGTCGGAGGGAAATGGAGCCGCTGCCACGGAGGGATCTAGAAGTCGCTGTCGTCGAAGAGACCAGTCGCCGACTAAATCCCATTCATCTTTGCGGCCAGCCATTCGCCTACGTGGAGATGCGGATGCTCGGGCGTTGTCCCTGGTCAATATCGTGCCATCCCCGTGACTTCCTCACCGTTCAACAGCTCATGGGCCGAACCCCTTTCCCCGACAGCTGGCACCTGTTTCCGCCTTCCTTTTTTCACCATCGCTATTCCACCTGACTCTTGGTCACCATATTCCTAAACGCCACGACCCGCTCCCTCGCTACTTCCTTCCCCCTCCATGTGTTCTTCTCTTTAGTGTCGTGTGGCAAGAGTTCAATAATATAGAGCTTTATTGCATAATCTCAGGCGCAATCCCCGCCTGCGAGGATTACGAGGACTTCCGCACCGCGATCCCCCTCACCCTTTGCACCCTCTTCCCCAATTATCTCGCTTCCCTCCCCCATGAAGAAACGCGACTCCCCCGCACCCACCGGAGGATGATTGCGGGCTCCGCCGCTTCATGCCCCCCTTCCCCAAATCCATCCACCACCTCCCCCACCCGTTATTAGACTACCCTTCCCTGATAACCTCTAAGTTCCGAGCTCACGTACGCCACGATGGATAACATCCACACTCTTATCTCACGGTAAGTGGCACGTGCAAGCTCCACGTCGATCCGCGACGGCGGCGATATCTTTCGCGGATTGACGAATGGTGAGTGAGCAAGCAGGAGCTTGCTCAAGACTGGAACCCGCTGCGCGCCACATATGTGACGAACCGTTTTCTTTGATCGAGCGATCTTTTGCATGGAGCTGCTTCGAAGTTTGGGACGGGTTGGTCGAGTGGAGTGCATGGGTACGGGTCGGTCGGGCAAGTTGCATGGATGCCCTCGATTCTTGCCCCTTGGGATTTTCGAGACTAGGGCCAGGAAAGCCCCGTGCAGACAGTTGAGTGGGCGCGAAAGGATAACTGTTGTCATAGCTTCTTTGTTGTTCTGCTGTGGGAACTGGGAATTTTGGCGCGATCGTCGTGCGGGAATGTCGTTTTCAAATTTTCGAACTGATGTCGAGCCCCCGCGGACACTCGAAATTGTTTTCCCTTCGGAATTTCTTTTAGTAAATTGATTTAGATAGGAATTTAGGAACCTTAGAAATTTTTGCTGCACCACGCTTCGTGCTTGCGCACGTCTCACCGCAGTGGGAACTGGGCTCTGACTTTATCGCGCCCTTAATTTTGTGTGTAACTGTAATTTTTGGTGGGCGCGATTGTAATTGTACTTCTTCTTCTTGATTCTCTCGTGTTTCCCTACCTTCTCCCTCTCTGTCGCGCATACCTCGTCCCCCATTCTAATTGGCATAAGCGACTGCATGACCGGATGGATGCGTGGAGTGTGGCTACGTCCCCCACGCTGCGGCCTGACCATGCAAACATAGGCACTTCCTTCTCTTCCCCTTCCTTTCACTTAGGCATAATCCCGGGTTTTTCGTGCAAGCATGCATGCTATAAATTTCACAAGCAGAATTAGTTTGGTCTCTATGAATTTGGAAGTTAGTCGCGGTCAATGAGGATCGGTTAAACAAGGAAGCTTGGAAGGTGAGTAGACGAGAGTTGGGTCATCCGACGAGCTGGTGCCGAGTATGCGGGGTTGACGTGGGGCCACAACGGATTGTGGCGCACGGGCGAACCTGGCTTGCATACCCGGACTAAGCAGGGTGACAACTCTGTATGGGTGCGAGCTATGAAACACCCGTGGACGTCTCCGCGAGGCCAAGCTCGGAGGGCAGACGTATTCACGGCTGCCTCCGTGGCCTACCTGGTCCACGCCGCGGAAACGATTTTAATTAAATAAAAGGTCAAAAAAAAAAAAAAAAAGGGGTTGTAGGGAATTTTAAGCCCACCACCCTTTTTTTATTTTTTTGGAATCCGACTTTGTTTAGGATTTTTTAAAAATGAAAAACTAAATTTGATTAAAAGAAAATTAAAAAAAATAAAATAAAGAAACGCAGTATTTTTTTTTTGTCATTTTTTATAATGAGATACTGTTACATACTCCAATGAGTATGGGCAGAACCAAGAATCAACCAATATAGGATGAGTTTTTATGCAGTGGAAGTCTTATAACGAACTGACTCACATAGACTGAC